GAGAAGGAGAAGGAGAAGGAGAAGGAGAAGGAGAAGGAGGAAAGGAATCCTGATTATAATGAGCAGATCAAGCCTAGCTGAACCCTGAAATCAATGGTCTGGGTCAGTAATGGTCTATTTATAATAGCCACAATTACCCAATCCATGTATTGCTACTCTACCTTGATTTGACTGGAAAGTTTGTTAAGGAAGAATGATTTCCCAATCATTCTTAGCATTAATTCAGTGGAAAGGGCTTTAAGTTAAAAGTGGATATGTAATAAAAAGCAGTTACCTTGAAGGAAGCAGTTACCCTGAAGCTTACAAATGTGTTGAATCTTATTTTAGCCTTTGCAACGTCTAAGCTAAGACTGGGTGAGTCCACTTTGGAGCAAGATAAAAAGAGAAGGGAGATGATCCTTCATTCCATCTGGAATTCATGCAATTAAAACCATCTGGGAATTCATATTCCCCAATCAACATTATGTGTTGCTTAAATGAATCAATGATATTTTTTGCTTTCCCCTCCTTTTCTCAATTGTCATCATAGCATCTAAAATTTCTTTAGTTTGTCTTTCATGTTACAAGAGAAGACAATCTCCAAGATAAGTTGGACTTAATAGGATCCATATGAGAAAAAAAGAATAGTATACTCTATAGTCTAATATAGCATTTCAGAAGCTAATATAGCAATTCAGAAGAATTTTCTTCAGCTTAATGCACAGGCTGTACTCACTGAGACCCCAAAGCACTGCCTGAATGTGCTTGGGGAGTAGGGTTACCTTGTTTTCCAAAAAACAGTCAGATATGGAGCATTTGGTCAAAATACCACTTGCTGGAATAATGCCTCTCTTCATCACAGTTACTAAACTTTTGAATCCATCATGATCCTCAGAGGGATTTGGGGGGATGGGCAATAAATTCTCATTCAGAATGGCCAGATTATCCAAAAAATATTAACACCTTTTCATTGAATAACAGTACAGGAACAATTGGGATGATGTGATGCCATCATTTTGGTCTCTTTCCTTTTAAGCCATTTGGAGAATAAAGCAATAGTAGTAATAGTTTTATTTTTTTTTCTTTATATATAGAGTTCACATTTAAACTGTTACATCATAATGTATAAAAAAAGAGATAATATTAAACAACGATATTTTATTTATATTAGTGTGTCACTGACTTTATTGACAATTTTGAAGCAGGTTATTTTGCTCCATAGTTCAGCAAAGCTCTAGATTGGCCCAAACAGCCCATGGGATGTTTCAGTCTTGAAATGTCTTGATTTGAAATGACTTGCAAACCCCTGAAGTTGAGATAGCTGAATTAAAAAGGAAACACACTATACTTCTCACATCTGTGCTATGCTTACACATCTTTTGGCAGACTGAAAATAAATCAAATCCCACATTTAAATGCTCCAGAAGTATCTACTTCTTAAAAAGTTAGTGTAGTAGGTTTTGGCCAATGCTGAATGCATTGATGGTAAAAGTCTGAACATATAATTTCAGGGAAACAACAACAACAACAACCCTGCATTTAAGTGTACTTCTGTGTGTATGTGTGTGTCTTTGAATCATTATTGATTCCTGGCCACTGCTTGGAGAGGTCCCTGATGTATTTTTCACAAGATTTTGGAAGTGGTTTGACATGACCCCCTTCTTAGGGCTGAGAGAGTGTGACTGGCCCAAGGTCACCCAGCTGGCTTTGTGGGACTAGAAATCAGTGTCTCACAATTTTTAGCTTTGTGGCTTAACCACTACATCAAACTGGCTCTCTTAAGTGGACTTATTCCCTAGTAATTCTGTTAATAAATTGAGTCTAAAGTATTATTCTTAAATGGGGTGTACAAAGAGTTGCAATCTCCAAGAAACTCTGCTACTTGACTGCTGCTATAAAAAGATATATATTCCCCATGTTCATTTTTTTCGCTTCTCCCCACAAGTATTTCCTGCTGTCCCTACTGCCAGTGATAAAGCTAGAAGGAAAAATAGCTCTAAACTGGTGGAGTTTGGAAGCTTTCTAATTCAGCATACCTTCAGTTGGAATTAAACGAATTTTGTCACTGATTTTTGTCAAAGAAGAGTTGGCGAGAGTACTCGACTTTTTATTTCTTTTCACCTGAAAAACAACCTGCAGCATTCCCTTTCTGTAATTTTGGTTGACAGTACAGAAAACAGATATTATTGCAGACAAGGTATGGACTAAAACGAACTAGTCTTTTTTTTTTTTACATTTAATGAAGCACCATCAAGTGCTCATAGCAATTCATCTAATATTTAATTGTGTTCTCTGCAAAAGAAAAGTAGAATGAATTAGTATTGTTCTCAGAAGTGTTATGGAAAGGATGATGATTAAGGATGCATTTACGTTACTTGTTTAAAGGCAAGCATTTATTCATTTATTATAGATGTACTGGACATATTGCCCACTCCAAATTCACTAGATGGCTTAGAAAAATACTTACAAAACTTCTATAAAATTCTAACACCTTTCAAAAAATAATAAAACTAATGAAACAGAATGCTGAAGACTCCAGGCATTGTAAATAACTTTTTCACCCAAATGAACAAGCCTCCCATAGTTGAACTATCAGTGAAGAAAACAACCATCACCCAGCCCAAAGTTTCAACAATAAAAGGTTTGAATTTTTCATATATCTATACCTTTCCACCCTTCCAATTGTACCCTGACATCAGATCTTGATCCCCAGTTAAAAATCAGTGTAACGGAGGGATCTTACATGCTGCTTTCATACATTTTGTACAATGGTGCATCATAAGAATTCCTTATGTTCCAATTTCCCAAGTCTGGATATATAGTAATAGCTAATCTCTAAGTATGAGTCAGACTGCAAGGCAAATTCCTTCAGGATACGCAATTGGGAAATAAAGCAATATTCATGAAATTACTAGAAAAGAAACATGGAGAGTTGTTTACTAGGTCTTTGCTGATTACTAAATTTCAAAGAATATGTCTTTACAGTATTTGTAGTAAATTTAAAATTGTCCCTGAAGCACATTGAAATGGCCAGTTGATCCTTCTGTGTGGAGGTCTATGCGTTTGAATGAAACTATATGGAGGAAGACTAGAAATGTTATTTAGAAAAAAACAGCGATTGAAAAAATGGCTGCATTACAAATATATGAAATACACTTTTTAAGACTGTCCTCAGTGACTGCCATGTGGAGATAAAACTGATGGGTTTTTTAAACAGGGTGTATTATTTCTAAATTGTGATGAGAAAGGATAGATGCCAACTTCCCAGAAAAATGCATTGATTATGTCATGGAGTACAATGCATTAGATCATCTATTTGTTTTATGTTGCAGCTCCATTCTTTTAAAACTTAATCAAAATATGTTTAGAAATAAATATTGTTTTCTGGTGGGGGAATAGATTTAAATTACATGTTATAATGGAAGAGAGAGATAGAAGGAGGGAGAGACAAGGATGGATTCCATGTGCGGAAATAAATCCTAAACTTCTTTAAATCTCTGTGATAATTTCATTCTGATTCTATAAAAAGCAACAGCAACAAAAACAACAATGACGACAATGACAACAACAAACTGCTAAGACATATGTTAGAGCAAAACACGTAGGGTTAGGAATTTGGGAAAAGTAGCACCCCATGCCTCTGCTGTGTCATTAATTCATTTTTCTCTTATTCTTGAAGCTGTAAGGATATTGATTCAAAAATGGTGAATACAGTTTCATGGATAAATAACAGGTCTACGCTTTCCAAATAGTTTCTGTACACTAGATCTGATCTCTTTGTTTTTCAGGCTATAGATAATTGGGTTTAACATAGGACTTAAAATGCTATACTGTATAGAGATGACTTTGTCCAGATCCATGACTGATTCGGAACTTGGCTTCAGGTAACAAACAAAAGCTGAAATGTAAAATAAGCCCACCACAATGAGATGGGAACTGCATGTGGAGAAAGCTTTCTGCCTGCCTTCTGCTGAATGAATTTTCAGGATGGCAGAAATGATATAAATGTAAGAGACAAGGGTTATAAGAAATGAGCTAAAACCAAATACCAACACAGATATTAAAAGAGTGATATAATTAGTGAAGGTGTCTGCACAAGCCAAGGCCAAGAGTGAAGGAAGCTCACAAGCATAATGTCTGATGATATTGTTGCTGCAAAAATGAAGATTTAGCAAAGGTAGTGCATTCATCATAGCATAAAAGAAACCCAGGAGCCAAGCTCCACCCACCATTTTATTGCATAACTCTTTTGTCAAGTATCTGCTGTAACGCAGGGGGTCACAGATAGCCACATATCGGTCATAACCCATTGCTGAGAGGATGAACACTTCTGTACAAGCAATTTGGAAAAAGAAGGAAATCTGTGCAATGCATCCTTCCCAGGAAATGGTTTTCTGCTTTGTTGCGAAGTTTGACAGCATTTTGGGGACAGTGACTGAGGAATAGCAGATGTCAACAAAAGCTAAATGACTGAGAAGGAAGAACATGGGGGTCTGAAGGTGAAGCTCAGACCTGATCACCAATATAATGGTTATATTTCCCAGGATGGTGACTAAAAAAATGATCATAAACAAGAAAAGAAGAAAATCCTCTATTTGTGGATCATTGGAGAGTCCCAACAGGATAAACTCTGTTATTACAGTCTGATTTTCTAGCCCAAAATATTCAGGAAACATAGGATCTGTAACAAAATAAAACACAGTTAATGATAGAATATACAAAGATAAAAACAGATTTCAATTAATCATATATATTAATTTCAGGATCACCTTTAACTCTAGATCAATATTGACAATTATATTACAGTGTATGATACTGTGTTTTCTTTTGTCATAAGGTTACAACATGGACAATTTAAGTGTTCCCTTTTTCATTTTAACAATGTGTTTTCTTGTGTGATGTGATATTTCAATGCATTGATTATAGTAACCTGTATTTGCTGTGAATACCATTTACATCCCGATGTATGAATTTGTGAAGTGAGTCAAAATCATGCATCATGTCAAGGGAAACTGTTCCAAAGGAAAATGTTGATAGATAGTATGTCAGACATCTGTTTCTTAAGAATTTCAAAGTGGAGAGATTTCAGGAAGTTGAAACACACAGTATTAAATGGTTTTGCAATCAATTCTGATTGGTTTGGCCACACCTGTCCTCTTCTCTACAGGAATCCACTGATTTGCTCTTTCTGTATTCCAAATTCATTTTCCTCATCTTTATTGTCCCCCTCTGCCCTCCCCCAAAATTCTCATGCTGGTCATTCCTGGATGTGATTATATAGAAATATCCATGCCCCCCCCCCTTCCTTTGGCAGTAGCACAAAAGTGATTTGTTACTCCCTTTTTCCAGAATGTTTTTTTTTTTCCTTTTCTTCCAACTTGCTAGCTCTTTGGTTTTGATTTTGGGTTTGTCCACCTCCCACATGATATTTACATGTAATATATGATGTTTTTTGAGAGTAGCCAAGAAAGGCTAGATAGCGGGATCTGCTGTGACAAATTGGAGAAAGATATTTGGCATATTATTCAAAGGGTTGTTTTATTTTTTTTGGAAAACATCTGAATGGATGTCTTTTACTTAGGCCACTATGATAGGATTAAAAATAATTCAGCCCACACCCAAAGTTGAGCCCTATGTTTTTACTCTGAATTCTTTTTAATATATACATGACATGGAACTCAAGGAGAAGGAGAAGGAGAAGGAGAAGGAGAAGGAGAAGGAGAAGGAGAAGGAGAAGG